TAAATCCCTGGCCCTCTAAAATGTTGATATGTTGGGTTTTCATTATAAGTCACTTTAAAATATTTTTTATTTTTCTTTAAGCCATTAGTTAATTCATGGTAGTTAATTACTTTGATATACAGGTACCAGTATTTGTTTTATTTTTGTAGATTTCTCATTTCATTCCCCTGTCCCTCTTGGTGAGATAAATACTATTAAAAATCAGAGGAGAAACCACAAGCACTACATTTTACTCTCTTATTTTTATATCTTGTCAAAAATTTCAGCTGGTACATATGAACTTTTGTCTTATTCTTAAAGCTTAGCTTAATTTCGCTAACCAAAAATAAGCTTAAACTGTTTCATAACTGTTCCAAAATAAATGTAAAATTTTATATTTTTATTTAATAAGTCCCAGCTCTATCCAAGATAGCTGCTAAGAGGTTAATATAACTCTTCATTTTCTTTTCTTGGTACCGGGGATTGAACTTGGGTCCTTGCTCTTGCACAGGAGGCGGCAAAACCACTGAGCTAAATCCCCAGCCCATAACTCTTTATTTTCATACATCCCTGTCATGTAATTAGTGTTTTCAAAAGTATTTCTACCACCACAATAAAACAAAGAAGGACATTTCTATAGTTTTTTTCAATAAGCCTAACAATTAATTAAAATTAGGTTTCTCATGTGGATTCAGTTGTTTCAGTTGCTGAGTTAATGCCAAATAACTGACCACAGTTTATTCTCGAAGACAGTGTTAAAAGTTCTTTTTGGTCATTTTACATAGTAAAACTCTTTCATCTGAATATGCAGCAAAAATATTCGTTCTGATGTTTAATTCTTCAAGGAACACAGCTGCCACGTTGAAAATCTTCCATGTTCAGTTTTCAGGAAAATCTAATTTTCTCTTAGCCAATAATGTTTATTTGGATGTATTTTAACATGGATTATCTTACATAGTTGTTTTTAAAAATTTACTGTTATTTTATAGTTTAAAAATAAATGAATACAGATTTTTTTTGAGTGGGGAAAATACTGAAAACTATTCCTTTTGTTTCATAGCTAAAAATAATGAACATGGCCTTTGAGTCAATTTACATGCCATTTGCTGATACAAAGGATGAACTTAGTAGAGATGTATAAAAAGTAAATTTGGCCGTCAGAGACAGCTCATGAAGAGATGAAAGATAGATAGATGATAGATAGATAGATAAACAATAATCACTATTTATTGGGGCATGATCAATCCTCTGACTGCCTAGAAAGGGGGACCACGAAGGCTAAAGAAAAGAATACAATAGAGACATTCATAATTTCAAAGTATATAAGGGGGCCAGGAGGACAGTGCCCCAGAGTGGGCAAAGACAAGGAGTCTCCAAGCTGGCCATTATTTATTGGGTAAACACAACAATTGGAGGCAGCATCAGGTGACTTAGGGGGCAGTGGTGATCCTATGTTGCTGTGGATCTTATGCTGATGAGGATCTTATGTTGATGAAGGCAGTAAGAAGAGCATATAATAGGTGGGATGAGTTAAACTGATGAGGAATTCATCCCTGCCCAGGTGAAACCTTTCTCTTTTTGTATTACTACTTGGCTCTCAGAGAACCAGGATGTCTTCACTGATGTAATCTTGCCCCTGAGTGCCACAGCATCATGGGACCAGTGAGGCCTCAGCTGTGACCGGAGGCAAAAACAGAGTTACATTTCCACATGCCATAACCAGCTCTTGGGCAGGCCACATTGGGCTTTAGACAGCTATAGTCAGACTTTCATTATGAAATGATTCGCCCCAAAACTTATGTAGAATGGCTCTTGACAACTGTTGAATAGGTTTGTATTGAGATCACAATCATGACAAACCAAGGCCTGCAGACGATACAGTATGATCCGCAGCAGAGACAGTAAACATCGTCCCAGACAGGAAGTGATAGCCTTGCTATCTGGAATTCATGGGATTTGAAAACAAGGTTTTGAAAATAGGGTTCACACCATATTAATAATACTCAGATTTGAACTTCCTGACAGCAAAACTCTGATTCCTTTCTTCCAGAAAATAAACTGTATTCCAGGAAAATAAAAACTTAATTTCATACAAAGCCCTCTACATTAATGTTTATAGCAACTTATTTGTAATGGTCCTAAACTGCAAACACCCCCAGTGTCCTTCAGTGGGCAAACAGTAAATGAACTGTGATACATCCACACCACCGACTGTCACTTAACAATAAAAAGGAATGGACTATTGACAGATGGATCAACCAGGATGGGTCTCCACAGAGTTATGCAGAGTGAAAGAAGCCAGTCCCCAAAGATTACATGCTGTGTATTTCCATTTATATAACATTCTTGAAATGACAGAATTATAAAAGCCGATTAGTAGTTGCCATGAGATGAGGAGGAAATAAGGGTGGAAGGAAGTGAGTATAGCTGTAAAAGGGTATCTTTAATGTGAAAGAAATGATTTGTACCTTAACTACATCAATGGCAATATTCTGGTTGTGATATTATACAAAATAGCACAACTTGGTTTTCTAAGATGTTACCATTGGAGAACCCTGGTTAGAGGGTAGATAAGTTCTCCTCCTATTATTTCTTATAAACACATAAGAATCTACAGTTACCTCAAATATAATTTAATTTAAAAAAACAAATTCCTTGCTTCTCCCTGAATCCCTCCTAATATCCAATGTTACCATTAACAGTACCCCAATCTTTTTATCATCTGAGGGTCCCAATGAATGACACCCCATCTATCTTAGGAGAGAGCACTATTCAGTAGGAGTGGTTACATTACTGCATGGGCTGTTAATACCAAACAAGTTAATTGATTGTGTTCTTTCTTGCTGGCTTGCTTCCCTCTTTCTAAAACATTCACGGATTTAGTGTGTCTCTGAGATAGTTGGGAGTCATTCTGCACCGTGGTTTACTCCATATCTGAAGCTTCTTTAATAGGTAAATACCTGGGATTTGTAGACCATAGTTTTTGGATGATTTTTCTGGGCCTTGTGATAAATTATATGTTTCTTCATATTTCTCTCTGATTTTGCTAAGAACTGTGCCAGGAAATTTAAATTGTGTTCACTATTACTGCAACTGAGGCCCTCTTAGGATATACAACATATTAGATACAGAGTAGAAGGTCTTAGGCAAACATTATTTTAATCCTCTCCTGCAACTGACCCACTACTTCTCTGTACAAGGAGAGTTTCTGGCCACATTGACTCTATAATACCTGCCAATGTCTAACGATCCATGCCTGTATGATCCTAGAGAATGTATCACAAGTTCTGTAAGATCCAGAACTAAAAGAACAAAAATTTGCAGAGAAAATATATTCAGCTTCTTTTCTAGTTTCTCTCTATGCTAAAAAATAAAAAAATCCCCTAGTACTTCATTCATTATCCCCTAGTGGATAATGGATGTTGAGCACGCACCCCACTGTGTTGCCAAGCAGAAAACAAAGTGAAGATTTGAGTGGGGAAGTAAGCAAGACCCTGTGGAAAGGAAAGTCCAAGCTCCCTGGTTTCCCTCTGATGAAAGCAACCTGACACATCTTGTGTTCATTTTACCATGTTCCCCAAGTTGGAGCTGAATATAATTTGACCAGATCAAGTAAGAAAAGAGAACAGCATGACGACAAGCCAATATAAAGGTTGAGAATTTTGAGGGGTCATTGCAGCATAGCTGTGACCCACAGTTTTTATTTAACAAGTACAAGTGAAGGCTATATATGAAGGGCTTTATTATTTAGTAACATTTCTGTGGGTCACCCATTTTCAAATGTACTTCTGCATCCACTTCTAAAAAAACAACGCAGCCAAATTAACTTTGACCAAAAGCATTTGAGATGTTTTCCAATCATTTGTGGTAGACAACCGAAGAGTGTATCACAATTTTCCAGATGAGTCAATAGGGACGAACCAACCTTAATTATTTGCCCTATGGTGGGAATTTAACCCAATAAATTTTGTACTTTCTGCTTCAGAGGGAGATTACCCAGAGGAGGAGAAAAATGATAACTCTGAAGTTTCAAGAGGCTGCAGTAATTATTGGATACCCCCTACAAGGCATTTGAGGCATTTCATTGCCACAAGAGATGTTTTATGTTGAAGTTACTTTTAACCAAAGGTCTAGGAATTCTTTGAAGGATCTTTACCTAAAAACTCCTATGAAACATTGATTTTTTTTTTTGGAGAATTATTCTTTTTACAATTTATTTAAAATAACAATTGGGTTTATAGTCTGCTTTTAACATGGAATAATGCCACATAATAAATGTCATTCATCGTAGGATCCTCAACATATTCACTGCAGAAAAATACACCCATATATTAAGTTAATGTCCTGCTTACGTGATTACACCATTTAACTCTTTCTCACCCTTAACTTGTCTATAAGACAACTCTATGATGATATCATGCTTTATTTTGTTTTAGCTCTGAATCTGTCCTTGGGAGAGGTCTGGTTACATTAATAGAAATCCAAAGAAATCTAAGAAGAGATATACAGTGACCACTGTTCTAATCTGAAGTCTTTAACTAGAAACTGTATTTCTTTACAACTAGACATTAAACATAACACACAAGATGACTAGATATTTATCCATAGACAAAAAGTCTCATTGTTTGATATGGGTTAAAGGAGGATTTTACAGTCTGTATACAAACAGACATGCACACACAAAAGCACAGGATTGATAAAGGTATCTATTTATGTATGTGTATGTTTAATTATTCATCTCAAGAGTGCTCTCTGCTCTACCGCTTACTGTTCAAGAAATGAGATAACGTAAAATAGTTGATTTGAACTACAGACCACTAATTAGGAGTATGCAATAGTAGATGTTTCGTTATTGTTTTACTTATTTTGCTAAACATCAACTCCAGCAATTTTTCCATGGAGACAATGTCTTCTCGGGTAAATTAAGAGGCACATGTTACCTCTGTTGTCAGTGTACACTGTGGTGAAATATTCCTTACCTGGGCCATTATCAGCAATTAACCCACCATTCCATGTTCCAGAGTATCCCACCCTCTGCAAGTTGTTCTGCCCATTCATAACTGGCAACTGGAGAAGGAGCCCCGCAAAGAAGAGGAAGTTGGGCCATTGGTGGAGCATATTTATGAGGTAGCTGTCTTCTACGTTCAAGCTGTGTTAGGGTTTCATTCCTGTGTTTATTGCTTGTTAAGTATAAAGCATCTTTAAAAGCATCAATCCAAGATCCAGGCTTTATGTGCTGCCTGGATTCATGGTGTTATGCTCCCGTATCAGAGTGGGTCAGGGAGGGGGTCCTGTTAGTACTCAGAGACCTGGTCACTTGGTTCTCGACGGTGAGGGGCATGACACTATAAGAAACATTTTATCTTGAACTGCTTTTCTTTTTTGCAAAGTTATATTTTGGCCTGTTTAATATTTGGACAACCCATGTGTAAAAATGACTTGCTCCCTAGACTTTCTTTCAATTCTTCCTGCATTTTTGGATATCTCCAAACCTCACCCATCTGTTAAACTGAAGGTCACCAACTACAAGGTTCCTGATGGAAAGTTTGCTGAATGTTTTGCTTTTGTACAGAAAAATGTACATATAAGATGAGTACATATAAGATGGCAAATAGATAAGAATAATTTTACTTTTCAGTTACATAACTCAGCTTAGAAATAAATAAGATATTCTGAGATATGAAAGAGTCCATTAATTAGTAATACATTTTCCAGAAACAGATAAGTGGGACTTTAAAGTTTGTGAAAGTATTTGATTCAATCCTACTTAAAGCAGTCCTACTTCTAATCTTAGCACAAATTGATTGTAAAAGTTTAGGGTAATTACCAGTTGTACCAAAAGCAACCTTCAAATGTTTCTTACATGTTAACTTCATGTCTCAAAATATACAGCATCAATAGATGCCATACCTCTTTGGTAGGCCACCTAATAAGCAAAAAGAATAATTCATCGTTTCATAAAATTATGATAATTGTTACAACTGTGGGGGAGAAAAAGATCCGTGCTAATTTTGAAGGTGAATTTTTAAATCCACAATAAATGTAAACATGTTCAGTGTTTTCAGATAACTGTTTTGTGTCCTGTGAGTGTGGAGTTCATGCATGAAAATTATTTACCTCTTTATGAGATGTGGCCCTTCTTTCTTTGGAATTTGCTGATGAAAGCTGAAGGAGCTCAGCTTTGAAACACACACTCATAGTGAAGTGCAGTGAGTCCAGACTTTGGCACTTGATGGATGACCAGTCTTCCAGGGGGTGAAAGAGGGCGTGTCTCATATGGTTGTAATTGACAACTTAGTAGTCAAGAAAAGGCAGATTCCAATGTAAAGAAAGTCACTGAGTTTTGAAAGCATACAGTTAAAATTGCATTTTTAACACTACTATTGAATTGGTATAAACTCGTGATGAACAGCCATAGTTAACACAGGTTGAGCATCCTCAATCTGAAAGCATGAACCGTGCTCAAATTCCAAAACTTTTGGGGCACTGACACAATGCCACCATATCTGATCTATTCCTGTGGGTTGTGGTGCAAAACACAAGCACATTAAAAATACTGTACAAGATAACCTTCAGGTTATGTGCATAAGGTATATATGAAACATCAGTGAAGTTTGGCTTTACACTTGGGTCTCACTCCCAAGATATCTCATTATGTGTATGCAAACATTCCAAAATATGACCTCTGAAACACTAGTCCCATGCATTTTGGATAAAGATGCTCAATCTGTATTATCTTCACTGAGGAAATCCACTTTTAGAGCTCCTCAGACTGGCATCTTCTCAAAACACCAGTACATCCTGCTTTCTAAGCTCTCCCTGCCCATGTGGATTCTGCTTTTTCTTATTTCCAACAGTCATAATCCTGGTGACTCAAAACCTGTAATAGATGCATTCTAAAACAGGTCTGGGGTGTGTAGAGGTGGATTTCATTTTCCTACCATTTCATAATGTGTCACTTGCTCGCAGCTGCACAATATTGGACCAAGCACTATCAGGGACGCCATTTTGGAGGTGGGCTGGCCATTCTCCTCGCGGGATGAGTTTCTTCTCTATATTTTTCATATTCAAACTCTGGGACCTCTGCGATGTCAAACAAATCCTGATATCAATCCACAGGATATAAAGGTAGGAATCCAGTCCAACCAGTGGTTTTATTATTTTTATGGCAAGGAAAAGATGAAAATGGTGACTTGTTTAAAAAAAATAATTATAGGTTCCTTCAGTAATCATTGATCTGACCTTTTAGTTTTCTAAAAGTGCCAAATTCAATTTTAAATATCATTCCTAGAAAACTTCCATTTCTCATAGACTCATTGCTCCTTGTAACCTGTCATTTCTTTAGCCCATTTCAATATACACCTTTTATATATGGTTGGACTAATAGCACATCCAAGCCAAAATCATAAATAGATAGGTCATGCTTTGGAGAATTAGTATGAAATGTTGTTTTTAAAGTCTTGTTGGTATGTTGACAAAAGGCATAAGGATCTTTGCCAAAGTGGGCTGGCACCAGTAGTAAGTGGTGGTAAAATATGAAAATTTACCAAAAATTGACTCGATGCTACCAGGACCGCACAGCAGTGAAGCTCATAGAGAAACCCAAAGCCCTCCTGCTCAGACCCTAAAATGCATCCAAAGCACCTGGGAGGTTATTAAAGTGCAGGATCTAGAAGGAGCCTGAGATTAGGAGCTGAAGGCCAAGGAATTGTTGCATGCCCATAATCCCAGCATTCTGAGGGGCTGGGACAGGAGGATCATGAGTTCCATCCCAGTCTGGGCAACTTAGAGAGACCTTATCTCAAAAAAAAAAAAAATTAAAAAGGGGGAGGAGGTAGCTCAGTACAAAGGCCCCAGGTTCAATCCCCAGTACTGAAGAAACAAAAACAAAAACTCCAGTGCCAAGGATCTGATCCCATCCAAATGAAGATTCAGTCTTGGCTTCAGTTCCTTCTAAGAGGAAAGAAACAAATTAACATAAGCCCTTGAAAATGTCACATCTGTATGCAAACAAAACCAGAACTTTGCAAATCAGATGTTGTCCTCAGAAGACAGCTTCATTAAGGAACCAGCATTCTCCTAGTAGCTGTAAGGATGAGATGCTCTAGTCCACAGCATCCACAAAGAGCCACAATGCAAGTCTACCTGGACCAGGGCCCTGTGTCATTGCTGACGAGGAAAGGCTTCCCTTTGAACCCAACGTGCCTGTTTTTCAGAGGAAGATTAAAAGGAGGCTCCACAATAAAGCTTCCTTCTGTGGAGAAATAATAAATAAGACCACTTGTGCTCCGTGAAATATCTGAAATACTTCCTCCCTGGAATTTTTCCCATTTTCTCTTTCTTTGCTCTCCCTCTCTAAGGACAGTAACTTATTAGAAAACACCTTCAAATGTTCGTATGAAACATTTAAGTAACTCAGATCTTCACATATCCCGCTCTATTTAACATCTACTATAGTTTGGTTGTAGATTCTTGAAGCACATGATCACCCGTAGGCTTCTCTCTCTGAGTGCAATGTTTAGTTTATATCTGACACTATTTATATATGTTTGTATATGTATTATGTAACTTGTTTAATGTGTACCATGTTGGTTGTGAGTTACTCTTTTGTGATAATTTAACAATCGTTTTTAGTGACTGAGGCAGTCCTGATAGCAAAGTTTCCTGAAAGGCTGACAGATTCCTGCAAACCAAGTGGGAATATACACTGAGCACATGGCATTGTCTGTGACTCACTTATTCTTTAAAGTACTCATGGACTTTCATTAAAAGTTAGTCTGAGGCTAGGAATTTTTCAAATGCAACTTAATTAGTCTCCTTTCCTAAAAAACTTGAAGTCTGTAAAACTTAAATGTAAGATTTGATTATACTGTGAAGCAGTAGCTGCCTACATTAACTGATCATAACCATGTATAAATTCTTGAAATTCTGAAGTCATGGAAAAACTGAAATTGCATTACTTTCAAATTCTCAATGTACCTTTACCTATATTTAAAATATAGTCTAGAGAGTCTAGAAAAACTTATTAATAAATAGATTCTAAATAAATATTCAGTATGTTTATAGCAGCGGTTATAAACAATTGAGAACACTTGAAAATGATTTTCCTCTTAAGATATTAAATAATTTCATGATGAGGTTGCTATTAGCTTTCTTGGAAATTGATATCTTCCTAGATGATGCAAAGATAAATAATCTTTCTCTATCTCAAATACAGATTAGAGATTAGTGAAAGATTATAATATTTTTATATGCTGTCAACACAATAGGCCTAGGAAAACTTTAGTTTTAACATCACTTATAAGATTTTAAGCACTTGCATCAAAGTTAACTGCTTTAAAAAAGTGTGTAGCTAATTTTATTTTTATTAAGAGGCAGAGGAAGTGAATTTAGTAAAAGGAAAGGGAGGCAGAATTGTGTTTTTAAAGGCAAGAATTAAATACCAGCATTTAACAAATGGACTGTGGTACAATTCCTTGCTATTTGTGCCATGGTTTGTGGTGTGGTTTGTCCCATCTGAAGCATGTGTTTAAATCTGACTCCCAGCGTGTGGAGAAATGAGGAGGCCTTCAGGAGGTGTTTGGGTCATGGCAGCTCTGTGCTCATGAAGGGATTAATGCTGCTCTCCAAGAGAGAGCTACTTGACCTTGAAGGAGCGGGTGTGTTGGAATCAGGTTGTCGTGAAGGAGCGCTCTTCTTGTTCCTCTCTCAGCATGTGACCCCTTCCACCCTCCCTTCATGAGGTCCTCACCAACTCCATGCTCCTGGACATCCTGGCCTACAGAACCACAAGCTACAATAAACTGTCCTCTATAAATAATGAAAAAATAAATTACCTCACCTCAGTTGTTCTGTTATAGCAGCAGAGCATGGACTAAGCCACTTGCTCTACAGGTTCCTTCTGAGCAGAGGGAGAAGTGGGCAGTGCTTGGGTAATCTCTGCCTCCATGAGCAGAACCTCTCCACAATGCCCAGACCTCATGGGGCCAGTCCACCCCAACCCTGGGCCCGTTGTTGAGGAACTCTCGGCCCAGCTTTCTGAAGTCGAGGGACTTGCATGGTTCTCCCACCATGTTTTCCCCTTCAGCCCCTCAGGGAATGTTCTCTCAGCCAATTTCCTTTTTTTGTCAATTCAGATTCACATTTTAGTCAACTTCTCCTTCTCTTCCATAGTCTCATTTTGCTCACTGACCACTGAAATGAGTGCTCTTCTCCATTGTATCTCCCCAACCCTCTCACAGATTTCTAAAAAATCCTGCTTATGAAAATATGAGAAGAGGAAAAAAATGGAAACAAGGTCTTTGCAAATAGGGAAGGGTGGAGGGGGTGAAGGGAGGGCAAGGGAAGGGGAAAAAATAAGAACCAAGAGACTCATGTAATGGTACAAGATCCCAATGATGACTGTAACTGTATTGTATACCTAAAATGTACCAATAAAGTTAATGGGGAACAAAAAAAAGAAAAATAAAAGAAAAATCCTGCTTATGAAAAATAAACCATCCAGATTTTCTTGGAAGCATTTTCTGGGCCACCCAGTCCAAGGAACCTGTGCCACCAGCTCTAAAGCCTTTGAAATGTCCCAGATGTCCCCTCAGAATTTCTATAAAGCTTCCATGTACTTTCTCATTTCCCTCTACTTATATCTATCTCCACCTAAATATGAACATTCAAGAGAATGAACTATTCGCAATAATTTTCTATTTTTTAAAGTTACTCATATGGCCAAAGCCCTGGATATTATTATTTTTATTGCAAATACACAGTTTTATGGCATCAAAACCATATTGAGGCTTAAGTGGGGATTTTGTGGAATGGATTGAAGATTCAACTACCATTTAAAACACCATTTTGAAAGAGAAATGCATTCTGAATGCCAAACATTGATCCCAACCCTTCTGAAATCCAACCCGTCTACCAATTGAGGATGTGTTCCAAAGGCAATAAAGCTTCAAAGTCTTCTCACGTAACTCTTGAAATCCAGTAAGACCCCAGTGGGGTTTAGTTTTCAGAAGAGTAAGTAATTCAGTTTGGTTATCCGAACAAGTTACCCTAATGTTCCCTAGGTTTGAGGAGGGTCCAAGGACCAACTGTATAAGCCGCCAACATGACCATTTTAACCCGTGGCTACATTAGGAACCAGTCCTCAAACGTTTTCACCCATATCTGCCTCATTTGTTCTCCAAATACAGAGCATCAGCATCAGCCACTAAGTTAGGGCAAGGCAAGGGTGACTACACACACAGGTAGGTGTGTGTGTGTGTGTGTGTGTGAATGTACACATCTATCTCATGTCAGGCTTCATGGGGGATTCACTCAGCTTGGTTTTTCAGCATTGTTCAAACCTCAGTTTTAGAGTAGTAGAAGAATCCCATCAGTATGGGTTTAAGAAAAGAAGGGTGAGCTCCACAACTCTTCATTTTCTTACCAGCAGAAACCAAGGCCCAAGGGGAGTCAGAAGAGGGGTGAGGAAGTGCTGCAGGCTCATCACCTCTTACTTTCACTGTGGCCTCCCAGTGTATGGGTGTCTGCCTCTAGGTTTCTCTTCCTCACATGGCCACTGCCACTTACTGTCTTCTGTAACCTTGGGGGCATCAGCAGATGTCCCTGAAGGTTCTGCCTCTAGGCTTCTTGGTCTAGGTAAGAGGGAAAAGATTTCACTGTGGCAGTTTCTTCACATTCTACCATTTAATACATTTTGAAACATTCAACTGTCTGCAACATTCAGACCAATCCATTAAATCTAATTTGTTCCAGATCCTTCTTGGAATAAGATTTTAGAGTGGAGTAAAGTAGTTCTCAACTATACCAAAGGCAGTAAAATAATTATTTCAAACTATCAATTTTGTTGTTTCAGTGGACTTTCTCCTCGGGTTTGGAAAGTCGTTCAAAGAGGGGATGATTTTTAGATAAGATGAGGCTGAAAAAGTAAGCGGTACTAAGGAACCAAACGTTTCGTAAGGAGTAAAGGGTTTTTTCAATTGCCAAGGTTTCATAATACACAGGCAAATGTGAGATTCTGGGGGAAGCGGCTGTGGAATGAGAGGCTGTACCCAGGAGAGAAGGACAAACGTGACGCCCAAGTGTCAGCTGTGTTAAGATCACAGCGCCACATTCCGGATTTAACTCAA